AAATGCGGAATTTTTGCCCCGGCGAAGACAACTCAGTTCATCCGCGCCTGCGCAGCCTATACAGCTGCAGCTAAAAACAGCCTTTACAGGTCTGCGCTATCATTTCAAGATGGCGGACCTCCTCGGTTCAATCCTAAACTCGATGGAAAAACCTCCTACAGTCGGCGACCAGGAAAGCCGACGAAAGGCACGAGGTACATATTGTATCGCCTAAACAGCGAATAGCGTCAAGCTAGTCTGAATCCGTTTAAATGAACGTGACGCGGGATTTAAACGTATGTGAAAATTGAAAGAAGAGGCGAACCAGGCATTTCTTGAGCTGCCATTGGTCAGTTCAGCTTTCAGTAAACCGCGGCTGACCTGGTTGAAGAGTTAGCACCGCCTCAACACAACATGCTGCAGACTGTCGCAGACAAGTCTGAGCTACGGGCAGCTGCTGAAACGCAAACCTGCCAAGAACAGTCCGTCTTTGCCATCTGATTAAGTTACCTCTGAGCTTTCACAATGCTCGGCTTTCAAATGCAGTTTCCTGAAAACCCAAGTTATTCGAATTCACGGTCATTAACCGGTCATTAACCCTTTCTATCTCCCAACATCTTATCAAAATCTTAAGGTCTGGGAATGTGCTTCCTACCCTGGTTCCCTTTAATTGATAAATACTATGTGGGCTGCTTACAGTTACAGTCAGCAGCTATGACAAAAGCACATGTACTAAGAACTGCAGTAACTCTTAAGTTTCATATGGCTCCAGTAAAAATGGGATATTTGTTTGTGTAGATGCACTCTTAATGCTTTCAAGAGTCTGGCTCAAACCACTGGCAACACTGTGTGGAGTGTTGGTACAAATAAACAACAAAGAAATGTCTTTTCAGTTGTAGTGAGGACATGGGAACAACCAAATGTCTTTAATTAACTATAGAGAGTGTGCATCTGTATAAAACATCACAGACATGCAACAGATAATAGGATCTGAGTCACTGATGCCTGGTGATTTTGGGATTACAGGAAGCCTGTTGTTTTACTATCCTTCATTAAGGAAAACGACCAGTTTTTGCAGTAGGACTAGATGTTCTGTGTTTAACAGCGGGGCACTCTGAAAGTTTTCAGTACTAAAATGCCTGAGTAAACACATTAAAAATCAGTTGTTGTTCTTTGAAGAGCAAGCAGCAAGGCTCAAGAAGATGGAAGAAGAGGAGAAAAGAAAGAAAGCAGAGTTCAGGAAAAAGGTGAGACCTTCAAGTGTCTTATCTAAGACAAAATGAATTTGTGATGCAGAGCTTTTCTGACCGCCCTTCATTAATCCTGCTATTTATCACATGCATCTGTTATTCAGATGGAGAAAGAGGTGTCGGATTTCATCCAAGACAGTTCACAACAGAAAAGAAAATACAATCCCATGGGGAAGATTGAAAGGAGTATATTGTACATACTATTTTTCTTTCATTACTAAAAAGTAAAATAAGCATTTATCTGCCTTGAAACACATTTCTCCCCCACTTGTCGATACTATTAAGATTTCATCTCTTCCTGTCTCTCAGACATGATGTTGCAGAGGTGGCTGGTTTGACGTCTTTTTCTTTTGGGGAGGATGAAGAGAGCCGTTACGTCATGCTTTTCAAGAAGGTACGAGTGCTTTGAAATCCAGTGTTGGATCTGAAAACAATCTTTTTAGTTTTACATGACTGATGGGAAAATGTTGTTGTGGCAGGAGTTTGCTCCATCAGATGAGGAGCTGGAAGCCTATCGCAAGGGAGAAGAGTGGGACCCCAAACTGGCAGAACAGCGGCGCAGACTAAAAGTAAGACTGGTGCTCCTCTGTTTTCCATATGTGTGTATATATATGTATATATATTTCTTCTTGTCTAATATTATAATTCCTAAATTTAAATATTTAGAAACTAAACAAATGTACCTTCTAAGAAGCTTCCAAAAAACACTACCATACATATGCAAAGTTTGAAACGGTGATAATGGTAGTTGCTACTTATGCTACTTCTGTGTTAAAGTGGAGGCACTTTATGGCTCTGAGGTAAAGAAATTAAGTTGAGTAAAAAAAAATTAACTTCTTGATCACATTTCGCTTTGGTGCTTGATGATGATTACCTTGAATTTCTCACCATGTTGCCCTTTCTTGTCACTTCAGGAACAGGCTGCACTGGAAGAAGCAGCATCCAGTCAGACAGAAAAGTCACAAATATGCCCCAACTCTAACTACAGAGACAAGTACAGTCACCTGATTGGCACTTCAGCTGCAAAAGATGCTGCACATACACTTGAGGCCAACAGGGCTTATGGCTGTGGTGAGTGTAGAGGCCGGCTTACAGAAATGAAACACTTTGCTTTGTGTCATTCTCTTTGGTCATTGTGTTGGTTGTTTTCTGTCCCAGTGCCGGTGGCCAACAAGAGGGACACTCGCTCCATAGAAGAAGCCATGAATGCAATCAGAGCAAAGAAACGGCAGAAGCGCGAGGACGACACGGGGGCGCACGGCAGCAGTTCTTGAGTCTCCGGCACGTTTGCCGTCTGTCTGTCTGCTGTTTGCGTGTGCGTGTGTGAGCATGTAAGTGCGTTTATGTGTGTCTCATTCATCCTATAATGCAATATCCTGTACTTCAGATGTACAAACGTTTAATTTATGTATCAACAAGCAAGTGTTTTCTCATGCTTTGTGACCAAGACTGTGCTAAAATTATAAAAACTTGCTCAGTGGAGGATCTTCAGGTGTGTTGGTGTCTGAGAGCTGGGTTGTTAAACACATTTAACATTTGCCTCACACTCAGATGTGAACTGTATAGTATAAACATGTTGTCTGAGTGTTCAGATGCATAAAACCATAACGGCAGAATATTTTTAGCAGATTTAACCACGGCTGCGCAGGATGAACTTTAAAAATCCAGCTTTTAGGTAGTTAGAATTGAACTCTGCACTGACAGTGTCCAAAATGTCCAGTACAGTTTTTTTTAAAGCCGTAATCTCATATTTTAACAAGGTTTTGGTTTGTTTTGTTGAATTTTTCTTTTCAGTCTAAACGTATGTCACATTGTAAAGATGGAAGCAAACCATTTTTGTCTGTCACATGAGGAAACCCTCTTTTAGAAATCTTTCTGTAAACCTGCACTGACTGTGTATTCTTTAACTCCAGTGTAAATGTTTTATTAAAAAGCCATGTGATTGCTTACAAAAGGCATCATAATAGGAGTTGGAGTACCAGACTTCTTCTTAGGATGTTGTGCTCTCAGTTTTGTTTTCTGGTTTGTTTGTTTTTTGTTTTTTTTAATTTCATGTCTTTTCTTTGTTACAAACAAGAATTCATGCAGGAGTTCCCGGCATCTTAGTGTCTCTTTTAACATGGTTGTATCGTTTTATCCCCACATGTATTAATAAATGGAGAAAAGTATTAGTTCTTTGTATGTTTGCTCCCGTCTCTATTCTCTCAGCAGGGCGAATAGCTCTCACTCCAATACAGCTGCATGCATAAACATCTTATAATCAAATCAGCAACTGTGATCATCACTGTCCGGTCATAATGGCAGTTACAGTGTATCTACTTGTACTAAATTCCTTTTTTACATTTTCTCTATTGATGTCTTGTTTTATATCACACACGCTGCCTTGGCTTGAGGTCATGGGCTGCTGCTCTGACATCCTCCGGTAATGTCTTTCTCTGCAGTTTGTCTTGTAATCGGAAGGTTGCCGGTTCGAGCCCCGGCTCTGACAGTCTCGGTCGTTGTGTCCTTGGGCAAGACACTTCACCCGTTGCCTACTGGTGGTGGTCAGAGGACCCGGTGTCGCCAGTGTCCGGCAGCCTCGCCTCTGTCAGTGCGCCCCAGGGCGGCTGTGGCTACAATGTAGCTGCCATTACCAGTGTGTGAATGGGTAGATGACTGAATGTGTAAAGCGCTTTGGTGTCCTTAGGGACTAGTAAAGCGCTATACAAATACAGGCCATTTTTTACAGTTGTGAATTTATTGTTTCCTTGATCATTGCAGCCACGAACTAGAATACTCCTTCCACGGTTGGTATGAGGTTTTGGCGTTTACTATGTCTTCTGTTGCAAACCTGACATGTAAAGCGATGCTTTGATTTACTGTTTTTCTTTCATATGACTAAATGTTAAAACAAAAAAGGGTTGTGCAGATTTTTTGCTGTTACCAGTGGGTTCTTCTGATAAATCTTTCAGAAGTATGTAGATTTTGCCAGGAAATATAGTAGTTTTGTATGTAAACCTAATGGCCACTCCACTTGTTTAGCCTTTTGATAATATAAACATCTAATTAGCCAATCACATGACAGCTGCCCAGTGATTTTAAAAACGTGGACAAGATGGACCTGTCGCATTAGAATGAGTAGGAAAGGTAATTTAAGTGACTTTGAACTGTTGATCTGCTTGGAAGTTTTGCCAAACCATCTCTGAGGATTACACAGAATGGTCTGGAAGAAGTAAATATCCAGTGAACAGCAGTAGCTTTTAACACGTGACTCCCAAGCAGCTTTTGGAAAGATCATTTGCACAGAGGGTCACTTTTACTGATTCGTTTAATAAAAAAAAAAATACAAACATCTTTGTTTTATCACTTTAAGAATAATCAAAGCATAAATCCTGGTTCATAACCTCTTTGCTACAACTCCAGTACACGGTTAAAGATTAAAACAGTTGAATCCACATTTTAAACGGCGCCTGTCTCAAACAGCTAAAGAAACGCTTTTAGGGAATTCCTATTAACGCAGATACAAATACATGAGTGCAAGGTTAAATTATTTAAGTGCTTTTATTGCCGTAATTTTTGTACTTTCTTCTTTCTAAAGAGAGGAACTGACACTTTTTCTTGACACAGTGACATTCTTCCACTTCTGTAACGCGGTCACTGTTTAAGCTGTTTCACTTGTGATACGTCCACTCTAATGCCATCCCTGTTTGTCTCCTGAAGAAGGCGCCATAGATTATCCAACACAAAAAAAAAATGTAGGATTTTTTTTTTTAAATTCCTGTTTCACACTGTCCTGCAGTTTCTGTCCCGCTGAAACACATATTTATTGCGCATTGAAGAGTCAGTCGGGCACATGTAAAAAAAAAAAAAAAAAAAAAAAAAAAAAAAGAAGCAAGAAAAGAAATGAAGTCCATGTTTTTGTTCATTTTCATCATTTGGTTTGCAGCTGCAGAGCTAAAACCCCGGAAAGGTAAGAGCAGACTGTTGATGCTTATTCTTTCCTGATCAAACGTGTGGCTTTAAATGTTAAGGAGGGGGAGAAAAGCATAAAAATGCGACTCAAATGAGAAAAGTTTGCTCAGATTTCGCGACTCATATATTAGGATTAACGTGTTTGCTGCACAGTTTTCTTTCTCTTTTGCTGTCACAGAAGTCAGCAGAAGTTAAATCATGACTTCTGTTTCTCTAAATAGTCTTAGGGAACAGTCCGCTCTTTGGCATCTGATACGTTTTCCACGTTCTAACCCAGTTTACACAACTCAAAGGTGACAGTTGCTTTGGAAAATGTTTTATGCAATACTGAAGTAGTGTGAATGTCTTTATTTTCTGCCGATCCGTTTATCTGCGCCATATGCGTTTCTCAGCAGCTCATCTTTTTTTCTTTAACTCTCAGGGTCCGGTGTGGTGTGTACTTTCAAAGACAAGACATATATCCCAGGAGACAGCTGGCATCCTTATCTAGAGCCTTTTGGGTACATGTTCTGCATACGCTGTGTCTGCACAGAGGTAAAGTTAATACATTAAAGGGATATTACACCAAAAGAAGCCAAAGTTGCTTAAATAGCAACCTATAAATTCTGGGATTTGCTCTCTTTTAGACAGGCCATGTGAAATGTAACACAATCAAGTGCCCTGTCCTGCCATGTGAAAACCCTGTAGCTGAGCCTCAGCAATGCTGTCCGAGATGCACAGGTAGACTGACTCGTCACACACTGTCAGCTTGAGCTTTTGAGAGAAACTACTTCTGTTGTGATTTTTAAAGCATCCCGTCCTGCTTGGTGTGTTCTCCCCCCTCTCCCAGACGAGCCGAGGATTCCTGCAGGGCTGAGGGCTTCGGTGAAATCCTGCAGGTATAATGGGAGCATTTATCAGCCCGGGGAGACATTCACCAAACACAACCTCTTCCCATCCAAGCAAAGCAATCAGTGTGTTATGTGCACATGCTCTGTGAGTTCAGTCTAATTTGATACTTTCATTTCTTAGTTTCTGAATAAAGAGTTTTCATTTTTCAGAGAGAGTTTCCATGTGATTGTAAAAAGGATGTAAAATGCAAAAGAAATAAGAGAATATTCAGAATCTTTGCAATGTAATTCATGCTGAAGTGTTAGATATGTAAAGAAAAATCATTATATACATGTGTGGGGTGTTTGTTTTTAAGTATAGTGCTATTGCATGTATGAGAAGAAGTAGCTGCCAGTGTTATGCAGTTGTAAGTGAAATGCATTGCTGTCTTGCTTTGGCTGTGACATGCACATAATACAAAGTATACTTTACAATATAGAGCAGCATGACAAGCTAATCTCATAAGCTTTTAAGTGCTTTTTGCTTAAAATGTTGTACAAAAACAGAATAAACAGCAATTATTTAACCAGTGAATAACTTACAAGTACAGGTTTAAAAAAAAGAAGCTTTCGTCACATTTCTTTGCCGTGCTGTATCTGAACAAAGAGCAATTTGTTTTTTTGGTAGCGATATGATGTGCTGTTAAAATACATGTTGCTATCACAGCATGATTATTATTATAATATTATCTAATTCATTCCACTTTTTACAATAGATAGTTCTCGAATGTCATGTTTTTTTCTTAATATTGGATTTTTTTCTCATCACAGGATGGAAACATCTTCTGTGCTCTGAAAACCTGCCAACCTATCACCTGTTCCTCCCCCGCGTCTGTTCCAGATACCTGCTGTTTGCTGTGTAAAGGTAGTCAATCTTCTCTAAGCTGACAGAATGCCTTTATTCAGTTTCCAAGATGGAATTCACGAAGCAGTAAGGAGCACTATTTTAGGATTTTCACATATAGGTTAGGGGCTGAGCAATGTAGCTGGTTAATAAGAGTGGGTTTTTTTTATATTGATCTACATTTCCCTTTTTTTTCTCTTAGATCATGGCATCAGTGGGTCCTCATCAACTGAGGATGGAAACCATCAGCTAAACAGAGGAGTTGTATGTATTTTGCTGATTGCTTTCATGGGAAATTTGTCTGCATTTGAAAATTATATTTAAATTTAGTTTAAGACTGCTTGAAATCTAACAGGATCTGGTAATCTGACCTCGACCGTGTCACCGCGATCACGACAAAAGTCGGAACAAGCAGGCTGATTTTTTTCCCCTTATGCAGTTATCCGCCCAATATTGGCGTCATATTGTTCAGATTCTTTGTGAATCACCCATTTGCTGTGATTGTTAGTGACAAAGGCACAATCTGTGGTTCATTTGGCCCAATCACTGCACAGCACTGAGCTGCGCTGTCATCCTATTTAAAGGGAAAAAAATGAGCTAAAAGCAGTGACTCAGATGTCTTTAGCAATGTTATTAACTTTAATGATTTGGGGCATCTTCTGATGTTCCTTCAGCTTTCACTTTGGGGGCAAAGCAAGTAAATCCAGTAGCTAAATACATGAAGGATAACTGCATTGTCTTCTGTTTTACATAGAGGCATTCGGTTGATCAGTGCTCTGGAGAGCAGAGCAGGGTGCGGTCCAACCGCGCCACTGCACCCAGGACCTCTCCTAGAGGCCAGAGTCTCAGTAAACTCAACCTTAAAGGGGCTTCAGAGACCACCGTGAAGATTTTGTTGCAGAGGAAACACCAAAGAGGTGAGACTTTGTCAAATCAGAAATTTGTAGGCATTTTATTTTATGTACATGCTTCTCACAACTTTACAATCGTTTCCATATGTAGCGCAACACTCAGATGTTTTCCATTTCTCTCAGCGTGTTTATACAATGGCAAGACATACTCTCATGGAGACATGTGGCACCCAGTTTTGGGTAAAGTCCTGGAATGCATCCTGTGCACTTGTACTGACGGGATCTCGGACTGCAAACGCATCACATGTCCTACCCAGTACCCTTGCCAACATCCTATGAAATCAGCGGGAAAGTGCTGCAAGACTTGTCCAGGTAGTCAAACAATACTTGTAATATAATGAGCTGTTTATACAGATCTGATGTTGATGGACTGTAAACATCATCCATTCAACCGCTCTCCTAATTGTTTTCCCTAGAGACTAAAGCTGAAAGTAACCAGACCCAGTGCTATCTCGGACATAAAAATAACCTCTTGGTGTATAAAGTTGAATCAGCTCTGAATGTTGACTCACCCAACGCAGTCAGGATCATTGCTGTTGAAAGACAAAGTACTGCTGAAGTTGAAGTACAAGTATGGAACACTATAGAAGGTACTGCACCCGCTCCTCTGAGCTATATTATAGGAAAAGTTAACATCTTTTTCAAACGTGCTCATTTTTTCTTGCCGAGTATTAGATGAGAAAATTGTGAGCATGTACAGGTTTCCTGACTGTTCAGTATCATCACTCACTTAGCATATAGAGTGGCTTTCATACATTTTAGAGGTGCTGGTCAGCAGATTCTCTTACCTGAGCCAAGCTATTTTCCTCATATTTCCAGTCTTTATGAGAGTGTAACTTAACTCCCTCCAATAGACTAAATAAAAGTAGATAAAAGATAAAACTAGATAAAAGATGCACCACTGCTCCAGCTCTGAGACCTGAACCCCCTGCAGAAGTTCCTTAAATCTAAATTATTAATAACAATGTAGTATGTGGTAATTTCTCTGATTTGTACCAAAAACACATGAACATCTATGAGAAAAAGAGGGTCTACCTTGTGGTTCATGCTACCACGTGAGGATGGAGTGCCTTCAGCTTTGGTTTAAAAACAAGACAGCAATAAAAGAAATCTTGAACTTGAGGCTTTAAATTGGTAGTTCACAAACCCTAAAGTAGCATTATGGTGGTTACATCCATCGTTGATATACAGCTTAGTCGTAGCTTTATATTAAAAATATAGTGTGTGTAACGACTGTCGTTCTTCTCACCTAACACTTGACAACAAAGCAAAAAAGAATAGAAAGCCAATTAGAACAAAGTGGGAATGCTGTGTAAAATGCAAACAAAAACATCATGCTGTGATTTGCAAATCTCATAAACCCATATTTTATTCACAATAGATCACAGAAAACATATAAAAGTTAAAACTGAGAAAATGTACAGTTTTAAGATCAAAATATATTCTTGATGGTCGCAATATGCCTCAAAAAAAGTTGGGACAGGGTAATGTTTGCCAGTGTGTACCACCTCTCTTCTTTTAACAACAGCCAATAAATGTGTGGACTTTTAAGAGAGGAATCTTGTACCATTATTGTCCAATATAAAATTATTGCTAAAGCGGCTTAGCATTGTTTTGCCGAGATGCAAGCCTGATGGTGCCTTTCAAGCTGCCAAACTCATAGGCACTAATGCACCTCTATACCTCTATACTTCAGAGATGCAGGCTTTTGAACTTTTGGACAACAAACCGAACTCCTCCTGTGTAGTTCTAAGGATGCGGCATCCATGTTTTCTAAGACAAATTTCTGATTTTGATTCATCTGACCTCAGGACAGTTGTCCACTTTGCCTCGAGAGTTTTAGCCCAGAGAAGACAGTGATGTGTCTCGATCATGTTCACATGTGGTTTCCTCTTTGCATGACAGAGCTTTGACTTGCATTTGTTGATAGCACAGTGAACCGAGCTCACGCAGTGATTAATGCAATACCAAAGATCATAGGCTTCCAGTACTGATTTTTGGCCTTTTCCTTTGAGCACGGAAATTTCTCCACATTCTCAGAATCTTTTGGTGATATTATGGACTAAGATGATGAAATCTTTTAATTTTATACCAAGAAAAATGATTCTGAATTTGCTCCACAATTTGCAGTTTTTGCAGATTAGTGACTACCTTCAGTTCAATTAGTTGTATTTATGTAGCACCAAGGTAAAAATGCTGCAATATTAGAAAGACACTGCTACACGTCCCCCTATGGGCAAGTGCTTGGAGACAGTGGCAAGGAAAAACTCCCACTGAACAGGAAACAGGAAGGGACATCCATCTCTTGTGATTGGTTGGAAGTGAGGGGAGGGATAGAGAGAGAAACGGAGTTTCATAACTATTAATGATTAAATACAGAGTGTTGTATAAACACACAGGGAATGAAAAGAAATGACTACGTCTTAGAAACTCTGCCTTGGCTAGATGCTCTTTTTACCCAGGCATGTTACTAACCTGTTGCCAATGAATCTAATTAGCCAAGGCAAAACGTTCCTCCAGCTGTTTCCTTTTAGTGCAACTTACTTTTCCCACCTATTGTTGCTCCTGTTCCAAGTTTTTTGAGGCATGTTGCTACCATCAAATTTAAAAATAAGCTTATTTTTGTAAAATAGTCACATGTTTAAACATTTAATGTTTTTTTTTTAATCTTTCTATGAAAAATACATCATATAATTCCGTTTTTATTTATTTTTGTTCCCCTCAACTCTTCTGAAATTGGGGTTATAGTTTCCAAAATGTGAAAAGCAAGACAAACATACAGCACGGCTGCACCTCTGTGTGATTCTCCTCTGAGTCCTTTATTCTTACAGGCGTTTTACAGTTAATGGAAATTGGCGACATTCAAAGGAAAGACATTTTGGATCATCCAGAGAACTGCACGTTGCTCACAACACTCGATGAAGGTTTGTTTTTGGAGTGACTGATTTATATGGCAGATTTTGAAATCATTATTTTAGACTTATCTTACTGTGACTTTGTGTGTGTATGTATCAGGTTTACATCAGTTCTTATTTATTTTTCAGAGACATGGAGAAAATTTAAAGAGGAAGGAGAAAATCTGAGTAAAGCTCCTCAGACCACGATTTGTGAAGATGGCATTCGGGAGATTGTGACTTTCCTAAATCCTAAGCAAACCGAAGGCCTGTGTTCACCCTAATTGTCGCTCTATGTATCGTTATTCAGAATAACTACTTGGATGTGCAAGTCAAATATATTATCTATACTGTTTTTAATCCATCATTGACCATCATGTTTAATCATCACATATTTTAGTTTTAAACTGTTAGGTTGCACAGCACAGTCTGTAGCAGTGTGCTCGACAGCTGACTTGCTTATGATGTGTACTTGTAATAATTCCAAAACTATCATGAATTTAGCTAGGTGCTATAATTATAAACAAAATGTGAACATGTGAATAAGAAATGTAGATTTCTTAGCAGCTTCATTCAGTTGTAATTTTGGGACGAAGGCTTCAAAGACTGTTTTGGCATTCACTCAGTGGGATCAGTATTTGTGGAAGAAGGAAAAAGCTTTGCTTAAGTACATGAAAGGAACTTGTATTTTAATATAAGTTGGGATAGAAGCCACATTTTGTTTGTTTGTGTGGTCATCAAAGTATTTATTGTAAATACAGCAAGTTTTTGTCGCCTTATTTAAAGGGTATTGTTTCCTATATGATTTCTGTGTATATACATGTGACTGCTTGAATGTTTTTCTTTTTTTTTCTTGAAGTAGTTTCAGGCATTACATGGGAGTAAATGCACAGCTTTTTACAATTGTGCCTTTTCTGTTGTTAGCTAAAGACCTATTGTAGCTTCTTTTTGTATCCAGCTGCACAGTTTGTTGTAATATCCTGATATTTTACTGCTCCACATACCTTTTGTGTATTTTACAGTGGCTGATGTAGTTGAATGTACTCTGTACCACCCCTCATGGGTATAAATACCATAAAGTTTTCTCTGATTTGTGTCCTGCTGTTATGTAAGAAATGATGCATTTCAGTCACAGTAGGAATCAGGATTTCTACTTGAGGCAGGTTGTCTAGCTGTTTTTGAGAATGATTTGCTGATTCATCAGTGGTCTGCACGCCAGCTACAGCAGTGCAGTCCTAAGACCTTCATCGCCTGGAGGCTTCCAATAAATCGAGCTCCGGAAGGCCGGATAAACTGTGTTCCAGCTGGAAATTAAATGTTATCAGAGGCGTGGAAATCTAAAGCAGAAGCTCAAACTAAACCTTGAAACTCATATTTTCTGATCAGCCACAACATTCAAACTACTCATATAGTTTGTATATTTGTGCCACCAAATACAACTCAGACACATTAAGACATAAACTCTGAAAAACCACTGAAGGTTGTTGATGTTGAAGATGAAGATGTTAGTGCCCTGAAAACATGTTTGTTTTCTTCCATAGTCTTAGTTTTTTTTTTTATTGCATATTTATCATACTTTACACATATCTCTGAGCATTAAAAAATGTAATAGTAGACAAAGATCATTCAGGTAAATACAAAATTGAGTTCTTAAAAAAAGAAGAGAAAAAAAGCGATGCAAACCTGCCTGGCCCTGTAAAAAACAAAAATGGCCCTCTTGTTAATTAACCGTGATTAACCACATTTTTGTGGAAACCAGAGTTCAGTTTAACTAGCCACACACACGCCTGATTAATGCCAGACCGGCTGAATCAAGAAATCACTTACAGAGAACCTATCTGACAAAGTAAGGTAGGCTAAAAGAGCTAAAAAACAAACAAACAAAAAACACATTATGCCACAAAAGAAAGAAACAGCTGAGAAACAAAGTTACTGACATCTGTCAGTCTGGAAAGGGCTACATGGTCATTTCTAAGGCTTTGGGACTAAAATAAACCACAGTGAGAGCCAACCTTCTGATTAGTAGATGACCTGCTCTGCCTCCTGAGCTACAGCCACCATAACGATCACAGCTTTTTATGTATGGGTGTAGGAACAGCTCTTTTCCAGATACTTTGGACCAATCCCACAACAAACTGACAGTTTTTATAATTGGATTTGTGAATTTGTCATCATTATATTGTGTCCTTACCAAAAACATCCCTTGCTTATGAAGGTCGCAATAATTTCATAATATTGAACCTCTAATTCTGAAACATGCTTAAAAATAAAGGTTGGCTCCTTCATTTGGTCTGAGCACATACTGATGTCAATTTCTTAAAATCCCAGAGCAATGGTGGCTACTAAATGTATAAAATAGTGGTCAAAAGATTCTGACACTTTCACTGAAATATACATAAAATTTCCATTTATCTGAATTTAATATTTTTTGTTGACAATATCATCCTGTCATCTCATTTAAGTGATCCCAAATTAACTTTGAGTTACCCCCTGCTTTTTGCCCCTCAGCTGTAAAAGGCTGATGGGTATTGTTGTCACTCCACCAGGTCATCAGGAAGCTGGGTGGGCGGGCAGGCGGTGTGGCCGAATGATGAGGAGCCATGGAGTTCGAAATCGATACCAAAGGTGTATCTACCAAAACTCAAATTTGAGACTGAATCCTTTCTCCTAATAACAATTAATAATAACAACAACAATAAACCAAAATGACAACAATTAATTTGTTGCACTATATGTCCACTTAATAGTAAAATCCTCCACTACAGTAACTTAAAATTATTATACAAACGTATTTGCCAAAAATCATCTTGATGAGCCGCAAGACTGATGATATTCTGTGGATGGACAAGACAAAAGCAAATGTTTTTGGAAGCTTTGAGTCCCATTACATCTGAACTCATAAAAAGAACACCAACAGTCAAGCACGGTGGTGGTAGTGTGATGATCTAGGGCTGCTTTGCTGTTTTACAACCTTGAAGACTTGCTGTAATCGATGGAACCATGAATTCTGCTTTTTATCCATCAGATCAGACCCTGAAGCTTAAGCACAATCAGGCTATGAAGCCCGACAATGATCCAAAACACACCAGCGAGTCCACCTCTGAATGGCTAAAAACCACAAATAAAAGAAAAAACTCAAACAAATAAAGGTTTTGCAGTGGCCTGGTTAATGTCCAGATCATGATCAGATTGAAATGTTTTGGCATGACTTTAAAAAGGCCCTTCATGCTCAAAAACCCTCCAGTGTGCCTGAATTAAAACAAGTCTGCATTCTTCCACAGTGATGTGAAAGACTCATTGCCAGTTATTGTAAATGTTTGATTGCAGTTCTTTATTTTTTGCCAAAGCCAGTACAACCAGTTATTATGTTTAGGGGGCAATTATTTTCTACCCTTAAGAAATGAAATCATTAAAAACTGCAGCGTTAACTGTCTTGAACTGTCATCCCCTCCAAGTAAGTGATGCATAGGCACCTTGTGTTTAATATCCTAGACAAACTAAGGGCTCATTGAATTTATCACTGTAATGTTTGTAAAGTTATAAACGGTGACACGTTATATACGTCATCATTCTGATGAATCAGCTTGGTGGATGTGCAATATCATGCTCTGTGCCTTCTTTAATAGGGCTTAATGATTTGAACAAGCATAACTGAAGTTACATCCAAACCAGCAAGAACAAAGGGATTATTATTCAGGGAAGAACTCTCTAATAAATAATTCTCATGAATAGAAATTAGTTTTTAGGGGTTTAATCAATGCCAGGACAGGAATATTCAAATAAAATTGTTAGACTTTTCACAGTGTGCCAAAATTTTGCAGGAGGTCGGTGATGCTTTGAAGCTTTAAGAGATTTTGCATTGTTGCACAGAACTGGGGGGAAAAGGGCCCTATTAGCAAGTCAGCATACTAATTGTTTTTGTAATCTTCTAAGATTCATAGTGAATAACTTAAAGGAATACGAGGAGAAATTCGAAATATTGTGTGGAATTAATCGCAGTAAATCTTACATATTAATCCCATAATACACAGATGTGGGCCAGAGGAAATTATGGCTTATTAAAACACAATAATAAGAATAAATAAATAAATGACTTATTAATACCATTTATGTCTATAGCACCTTTCTAATCCAAAGATACAAGGTGCTTCACAGAATTTCCAATGATCAGTGGAATTAAAACATAGAATGAGTCAAATAAGACTGAATCATAACCAACATGGACGTAGCCACTGTGAAGTCTTCTTTGGTTTGTTGAAGCCTGTTTGTTTTCTTTAGAATAAGAAGTTACCATATTGGACAAATGAGTGGAGTATGCTCTCCATGCTGGCGACCTGTCCTCTGTGCACCCTGCCTCTCGCCCCTTGGTAGCTGTAATAGGCTCCAGTCCCCCTGCAACCCTGAACTGGATAAGAGGAAGAGAATGGATGGATGGATGGATGGATGGCGCGGAGTGGTAGCTATGGGTTGACGCTCTCAGTCAAACTGCAGTCTTAAATTGTATGGGTGCAATGCACAGACACACACACACTTGCTCATTAGTGCTAAAAAACAGAAAAACAAAAAAATTAGAATTTTATTGACCGAGGATGAAAAGAAAAATCTTCTTGGACACCTACAGAGGATGATGTTGTGCTAGCACACCTGTCAGGCAAAGTGATCACCCCTAACTTCAAGCCTCACTAGTAGCCATATGGATGAATGGAGGATTAATCAGGTGTTTAACATTGATTAATTGTCTTTTTTCCAGAAAAAAAGAAAGAAAAAAGGTGGATTTTGAGACAGGGCCTTCCTGCTTTGAGGCAACAGCTAACCACCACAGTGCCATGCTGGTGTGCTGGTTACCACACTGGGTTTTTTCAATTGGTCTTTAGTTGACCATTTTAACATGGTAGCCTATGGAAGGAATCACTTTTGTTGCTGGAAATACTGATTTTTATTTATTTATTTAGGCACACCAACAACACAGTTGCTATTTATTTCTGGATCCACGCTTCAGTTCTTGGTTTAATGAAGAACAGATAGTCAAATAATTAGAATTTATGTCTGTTGTTATAATCTGATGAATGACTGCAAGTATCTGTTTTTATAATAACGGGCTAAAGGACATCAATGCAACAACAAAACCACCTTTTAGTGAGAACACTGTACACAGTGTAACCTGCTCGTGGAAATAATGAGCTACAAAGCAGATCTGTGGGAGCAGCAAAGGTTTATTTTGCTCAGCAGCACTGTGTGCAGTCTTTCTACAGGGCAGCTTGATCAACAGGTGTCAAATTATTACTGCCGGTTCCCATGCTTCAGTCAGAGTGCAATTGCTGATTTGGTAGACTGCGTGGGCGCTTCAGAATAATATTGCTTCCCTTCTCTGTGAACCCCCGACATGCTCTCTCTGTCCCCTCCCCTCAGACAATGACTCAATTGTGTTGCTTTCACACTTTGCGCCAGACAGCTCTGTCCATCTCTCACTAAAGGCATGAAACAATATTTTGAAAGCGACGCACTTCCCTTGTGTGCCTTCATTACTCTCACAAAAAAGCCTGTCATATTTCTGTGTTAGCTGTTAGACCTGACAGCTAACAACAGTCTGTCTCTAAGTTGCCCAATAAGGCTGTTCCAATGAAAAGTGTGAGAAAGGGGTGTTCTACTTTGATGCTGCCAGCTCAAATTAGCAGCATTAAACTCAAACGAACGTCTCCATGTGCACTCCCTTCCTTTGAGCGAGTCAGTCGAGTTACAAGTTACTTTTTACCTCTAAAAGACGCGCTGCAGCCTAGTCAGTATCAGATGTTGTGATATGTTTTTATTTTTAATGGAAATCCTGTCAGTCCACTTTTTGTGGATGTTTGAATTCGTCTCGTGGGTTAATTCAGCTATGCATGCTTAGTCTTGGCTCTTGCAATTGTAACAGCTGGGGGCAGTCAGTAGGTATAAATCATGCAGTCGGTCAGCTCCCTGTGTATGTGTACTCCACCCTGCTGCCCATGCAGCCCCGATTCAGTGAGAAGGGAAGAAAATGTGAGATTCGGGGTCACGACTCGGCCCAGGATTGGAGCCACTTCTTGGCCAAAATTGTGATTATTAACAAATCTGATT